TGTGTCATCATTTCAGGACTCTTGGATTATCATAGACGTTATTCTTGGCCATTCCTCGACATACCTCGAGAATGTTTATGGACCTCACCGGAGGACATTTGGCTGATTATTACATCTTTATCAGAACTCCTAAAGTGCCCTCGAGAGTGTCTATGAACATGCTCGCCGCTCTCGTCGTCTCCCCTCTGCAGAATGTCTACGTCACTATATGAATGTTTGTGCGAGGTGTTTTTTAATATCAGAGTTTTTTCTTCTCAGGCAGGAAAAAAAAAGTCTGATAGGTATTTTTTTGCCTCCAATTCCTACATGTGTCCAGTTTATCACTTTTATTGTCTGTCCAAACAGGTCTCACTTGTAAATGCGTCTTTGAGGCTCAATGTGACTTATCTGTTTAAATAAAGGTTGAAGGAATGAATGAATTCTAAGTAACAACTGTTTGTTTTGGTAGTTGTTACTTAGCCCTTAGTGATATACTTTTACTAGACTGGCTCAGTTTTTGTTTTCCCCTACACAGATTGATACTGAATATCTTTGAATGCATAAAAGTAGACAAATCAATTGTATTTTTTTTAAACTATGATAGAGTAAAAAAAAAAATCATACTGCAAGAACAAATGCGGTGCTAGTGATATCTGAGTAAAGTCTGTTGGGAGATGCCCGACTGTTCTTGCACAGCATGGCATCAAATTCTTTATGCCCTGATAAACCACGAAGGATCTTCAGCTTTTGTTATGCAGGACATGCACAAACAGGAACCCAATGCATTTTCCCCATTTCACATTTCTGTGAAGACAGACAACATTAGAATAAGTGGAACAGTTGTAGAGATGGAAACACGTATACAACCCTTTAGTTTGTCAACTGCAATTTTATCAGTTTATTATAAAATTTAAAGTGCATCACATCAATTACTGCAAAAGCAAACCATAAAACTTACTGCCCACTAATGAGAGCAGACGGCCAGTTCCTCTCACTCATTACATTCATTGCATTTACAACAGACCAGATGATTCAGGGCTCATCTCCAAACATGTATGCAACATAAAGATTAAAATATATCTCACCATTGTACTTTTTATACCCTTGCTGGGCTTACTTTACTCAGTATGAAGGATGAACGATGAAGCATTGTTATCTTTTCATATACAAAGCCATTTTAGGAAAATTACCATCATACATCAACTCAAAGTTCATTTCACTCCAGAAAACACAGTCTCAGGGCCAGTAGCTGGCTGTGGTTTAAGGTGCACTTTGTGCACATCAGAGTCAGGAAAGATGAGTTTGTTCTATTTTAGCTCTTGGAATGATCTGCAGCTTAAGTTGAGGTTAGAGTCTTTTATTCCTTTATCTAGTTTTAAACAAAAACTGAGGTTTTAATCACATCTTGCACCTGTAATGTTTAAGTGTCTTAAATTGTGATTAAAAAAAAAACTTGCTTTCTATTTTATGTTTTATGTTTTGTTGTAAAAAAAAAATAATAATACTACTGTTACTGTTCAACATTTTTCAGTCTGGTCATCTGGACAGTTTCTTTTTTTTGTGCTGAAACGTTTCGCCTTCGGTCCGGAAGGCTTCATCATAAGATGGACAAAGAGACCAAAGAGACCATCTTATCACAAACAAAACTGGTTTGTTCCACTTTGGAGTAAGCTGTTGGGGGAAGAATCAGTTTTTGTGTTTCCTTGACTGATGAAGCCTTCCGGACCGAAGGCGAAACGTTTCAGCACAAAAAAAAGAAACTGTCCAGATGACCGGACTGAAAAATGTTGGATTGTAGACCTGGATTATTGAGCATGGACTTTGTTACTGTTCTTAAGACGGTGCTGATGTATTTGCACATTCCCGAGGACATCCTTGTAAAAGAGATTAATAATCTAAATTGATTTCTTCCTGGTAAAATAAAGATTTAAATGAAAAAAAAAATTACATATGCTGTATGCCGGCAGCATCTTGGATTTTGATATGGCATCAACATTTTTGAAAATGTTTCTTATTCCTGGATGCAGCTACACACCAAAATAGAAATCAGTAGCCTACTTCACTTATTTTTCAAGTTATCAAGCTTACAACATGCACAAATTGACGAAGGATATTTCAAATTCTTTTTGCTTTGCAACAGTGGGGGGAAAAAAGAAATACTGGATTTATTTAAATTAGTTTGTAATTCATAAATTTGTATTTAACATTTTTATTTTCCCCATTGGTCTGAGATGACTTTAGTCATCAAGAATATACAAAGCAAGTAAATAAAAACCTTATTTTCTCATTTTCAAAAAACCCCAGAAAAATAACATTTACTGGCTTTTCAAATTAAGAAGTTGTTTTTTTCATACATACTTAAACGTATGAGAGTGATACAGTATTAGCCTCTTGTTAACTCAGCTTTTAGAAGTAAAACGGTGTTTTCTGTGTAGCAGCAGCTGACTCTGCTGGCCCTGATAACCCAAGTCTACAAGCAACAGATACAGGGGTGATTCTAGGATCAGACATTTTGGGGTGCTTAGCCCCCAGTACTGACAATGGCTCTTGGCTTGAACATGGTCTATGGAGTGGTTTGTGAGAAGTGCAAAAGCTTACAGCACCTGATATTCCCAGGCAGTCTACCATCCAAGAACTAATCAGGCCCGACCATGCTTAGCTTCTGAGATCAGATGAGATTGGACGTGTTCAGGGTGGTATGGCCATAAACCAGGGGTGTCCAATCCTGGTCCTCGAGGGCCACTATCCTACATGTTTTGGATTTCTCTCTGTTCCAACACACCTGATTTGAGTGAATGGGTAATTATGTCTCCTGCAGAACATGAAGAGGTAAATCAACCATTGAATCTGGTGAGTTGGAGCAGGGAAACAAGTAAAACATGCAAGATAGTGGCCCCAAGATTGGCCACCCCTGCAGTAAATGATGCACTTTGTCACAAATAGGACTTTTAAAGGATCATAGCAAACAAAAGACTAAACATGCAACCAGAAGTTGCAACATATTTCTACTTACAAAACACATAAAACAAATCACAACTAGCTTGAAGCATTAACATTTAATTTAAACATACAATGTACTTATGACTAAAAAGGGAGTATTTACTTGCAGTTACCTTTGTACAATGAACATGTGGTACTTCCTGTTTATCTCTGTTGTATTCAGCTGCTCATGCGGTCAGCTGCCAACCGTTATCCATCTTTTACATTTTTTCCAGACATAGTTTAGGTTTTGGAAACGGAATAAACTGTATTCCACCATCTAAACACTCAGGGCAACATTGCCTGAATTACATGTTCTTCACTGACAGCGTTTAACCATTTTTCTGATGATTTTTCACAAAATCCCTCCGACTGCAAAGCATTCATAATGAAAACCCCCAATAATGTTGTCAGAGGAAAAAGGGGTGCAGTTCCTGCAGGTAAGAGGCATTTCAATTCAGGACAAATTGTGATCGCCGATTGGTCATATGCTGACAAGCCTACTGGATTGATTAACAGGTGGCTTTGAGGATACAACTCGTGCAAAAAACATCCGATTTTACCGGCCCATTTAAGTGTCATCATTTATTCTATTTTTAGTTCAAGTGTATTCAATATTTTGGTGAATCTAAGATTTGAGAACTGACTTTCCTTACAAAGTCCTCTGATGGTTTCTTTATTTTTCAGGGGTCCCGAGTTAAAATTTAAGACTGCTTGAGCACCCACTTTAAAAGAGGCTAAAATTGCAAGCAGCTTTGACTTCATGAGAGAAAGTAGACAGGGGAAGAATGTGCAAGCACACTCTCTCTCACTTATACATTTTTGAACAGGCATTTACAAACCCACCTGACAGCTGTGCTTTAACCCTGTTCTTTCCCGTTCACAGCTCTAATTATCTGTTGGTGACCAGAGTTGCAGTCATATGGTCCGTTGTGTGTATGTATGTGTGAGTGTTTCAGGAGGAGAGGCCTGTAGGCCAGGTGGCTGGGACCCTTAGATTTAATTTTGGAGGAGCAGATGGTAGAACTGCTGCTGTAAGGCATTTGGGGTGTGTGTGTGTGTGTGTGTGTGTGTGTGGGGGGGGGGGGGGGTAGTTGCATATGTTTATGGGTGTGTGAGAGGAATCCTATAAGAACTTTTAATGGAATCTATGAAATGTGTTCAAATTAAATCAGCATATCCACAAAAGCGTAAAGAGTCTAGAAAAAACTAAACAAGATTTTCTAGAAGACAAGTCTGCTGCTCACATTACTGCTTTAAATCTTTAGGCTAAGCTGCCATTTAAACAGGCAATACATTTATAATCAATTAACTGTATGTGACCTATATTAAATAACCCGAGGATTAATGTAAATAAAGTTTGGTCATGATTATCAAGCTGTAATTTTCCATTTGTATAACAAAAATTGAATCAATGAGTACCCTTCCAAACACAACGAACAGTAAATCAGACGTTTTTCTTAAAAAAAATGAATAATAATTAATGAGTTATTACCGGTATAATAAGACTTTTAAAGATATATTGTTAGTCTGTTTCTGTTGGGTTGTACTTGTACAAATGTCTCATCCAATAACGTGGTGGATGATACTTGTACATTTCAACTGACAGATAGAAAAACTCTTTTGCTGTTTTGGAAAAAGCTAAAAGCTTTTTACTGTAAAATTGTGATGATTAATTTGCAGTCAATTTATTTTGTTTGCCAAAAACTGGAAAAAAAATATTAGAGCTAAACTTGAAAGATGAAAATTAGCAGGTCAAATTTTTACAAAAATTGAAAATCTCAGAAAACCGATTGGTTGACTGGTCCCATTGAACCAATGATTAACTTGGCACAGTCGCTGGATGGCAAGAGCCAAAAAAACAAACAAACAAAAAAAAAGATGGAAATGGTTTCAAGTCTCAGTTTTCATGCATTTGTTTTGCAATTACCAGACCTGCAATTATCAGTCATAGAGGAGGATACTGCAACCTCTCACACAAATGAGTGACGATATTTTAATAATGTTGCTGGAATGTGTTTGAACAAATATACTTGACATACCTGCTTGCCTCCTAACGTGTACAGCCTCTTCACAGATCCACAGTCCAGCTTGATAGCATCCGTAATATCGGTGAGCACCTGCTCGAATGAGTGAGCCGTTTTCTTATTGAGCAGTATGCGAACTGCCTTACGGGGTTTGACACCACTCCGGATGACAGTGACCAGCTTTGGTTTGATGAAGTCCTTAGGTTCCCTCTGCAGCTCGGTCCTGGATGGAACGAGACAGGACATGGAGCGTGACGTCCCCATCCTGCTGCCCACTGACCAGTTGGGGTTCACATTCTTGGAGTAATCCACACATCGAAAAGGTTCGTTGGAGGCACAGACATAACTCTCTCCTGCAAGAACAAATAAGTTATGTATGTAATCCAAACTGAGATCTTAGCCAAATGGTGTTCACAAACAATTTTCACGTTTTTAAGCAATACATTGGAACAAAAACACTCAACACCGGGTAACACCAGACACCTCACCAGAACACTTTCAATAACTTTTTAAGAATTCCAAAGAGTGGAATTCCTAAAACCAAGCACTCGGAGATAGCTCAGATCTTTAAAGTGGGGTTTTGCAGAAAGGCGATAAGCAATTATTACCTTACCTGTTGTAGATAGCTCTTGAATTATTTAAGTTTAGAAAAAATAATTGCTTTATTCTGAGCGCATTGACAAGATAACAGCAAGTATGGGGGGCCAAAGACCAAAATGACTTGCTTAAAACCATCCATCCATCCATCCATCTATCATACAGTGCCTTGCGAAAGTATTCGGCCCCCTTGAACTTTTCAAACCTTTGCCACATTTCCGGCTTCAAACATAAAGATCGTTGGTTACGTACTGTAACCCCAGATTCTATGAATATAGGCGTAGCCCTTTAAGGCTGTCGCTGATGGGTTTATCCCGTTATGCGCAAGCATCATACTGAAAAAATTAGTCCACGCCCACCTGCTGTGTGGGTCCCACCCGATCCGTATAAGTTACATTAAGAGCGGGTAATCGGCTCCCAAATAGCTTATTTTTTCTTCAGCTATTCAGGAGCCAGTGAGGCCCGACGCTTAAAGGGCTACGCCTATATTCATAGAATCTGGGGTTACAGTACGTAACCAACGTTCTATGTCATATAGGCTTCGCCATTTAAGGCTGTCGCTGATGGGTTAAGGGCGAAGCGGATGTGGTCCTCGCCTCACTGGGTCCATTCGAACACAGTAAGAAGCGGAAGCTTGCCCAAAAAACGTCTTGTCACTCAGCTCCCCGTGTGCATAACTACACATCGCGTAATTATGTGCCATGCACAGACGCATGTTGTATAACTATGCGTTCTGACAAAACATGAACGCCCCGGAAAACTTTCAACGGGGAGAGGATGTTGAAAAGAAGGGGGGGGGGGGGGCATGAACCAACTGGTTCATGGCTGAACAGTATAAACAGATTAATATCAATGAACTGATTATTGATCAGATGAACTGATTGGTAACAATAGTCATGAATTGATTAGTGACAATAGAACCAAAATCACAGACACAACTTGTGACTGATAACAACATCTCACACTGTGAAGCATGCAGACAGATGTGAGCTTAAACAGAGTTCCATGAAAAATAACAATATTCATTCCGTTAGAGCACTAAGGACAGAATGTGTCATGGAACGAGCCGTCACATCACGTAGGTAAAAGCGAATAAATGAGCAGGGTGTTGACCATGCAGCCGCAGTGCAAATGTCCTGCATTGACATACCATTATGCAAGGCAGTCGAAGATGCGATACCCCTGGTCGAGTGTGCTTTGAGGTTGACAGGAGGCTCTAGATCTGATGCTCTGTAGGCTTCAGAAATGGCCTCACACAGCCAGTGTGACAAGCGCTGGTTGGATAACGGGCGACCTGCAGATGCATCTCTATAATGCACAAACAAGTGTTGAGTTTGACGCATTACAGCTGTGCGCGCTATGTAACACGTCAACGCCCGCACCGGACAGAGAAGATGGAAAGATGCTTCTTCTTCTGATCTGTGGGGGGGAGGGAAAAATCCCTCCAACGATATCACTCTTGATTTAAAAGAGCTCGTGATGTTTTTAGGCATAAAAGCTGGGTTTGGTCTTAAATCAGCTGAACTACCGTCAGCCTGGATTCTGAGACATGACGGAGCGGCAGAGAGGGCAGATAAATCACTCACCCTCTTAGCGGATGTTAAAGCCAGCAGCAGGGCTGTTTTAAGAGACAAGAATTTAAGTGAAACCTGATCCAAAGGCTCAAATGAGGCTTTGATCAGGGCTCGCAGGACCAGCGTTAAATCCCACTGTGGAACAAGTGGGCGTGAAACAGGTGTAGTGAACTTGACCTAAGGTCAAAACCCTTGACTTTAAGAACCTTGTGGGACAGAAACTGTCATTTCATTGATTTGAATCCAGAAATACAGGTTCACCCATCCTGAGACTTTCTTTCTTGAAAATTCAAGTGAAAGAACACTCTATTTTCTATTATCATTACTGTTTTACAAATGTTTGATAATCAAAGTGTTTTAGTTCAAACATTTTAGATGTTACAGTGAACTAATCAATTTTATTAACTGTAAAACAGTAACAATGATTTTTTAGTTGCTTATGCAAAGTAGAATTAATGTTAAGGCCTGTTACAGAGTAATTATGCATTTTCTGATTTCTGTCTTTGAATGAGCAGTGTACGTTTTCCAAGGTCAGGAGTCGAAGCAGACAAGTTTTGTAACAACTGTCTTGTTTTTAAATCCTCTCAGACGTAAACAGAGAAGTTGGCACCTGTTTCTTCAAACTCGCCCAAACATTTCTCTCGCCTGTCTGGGAAACATTTTCAATCTGTTCCATAACATTCTTGCTGGTTTCTGACTTTCCATAACACCTTACATCACAAAACACACCCCTGTCTGGTTGATATTGACCAATCAGAAACTCCCAAATGAACCGGAAATAGAGCTCTTTAAAATGTCGGTACTTCCTAGTTCTCTCAGTTCTGTGAAGCCCAGTGCTGTGAAGCCCAGTTCTGTGAAGTTTCAGTCCTGTGAGTTGCCGTTGGAGTCGGGCTGGAGAGTTTGCAGCTCCAGTCGTTTGGGAGAACAGAAGTCCAGCCATGATAAGGCTCTTCCGAGTTTGGGATTATAACATCTTCCACCCGTTGAGGTGAACTGTTGTTGACGAAGTCCCGTCACCACTCCGGATATATCTCTGCCATCCTACGGAGACGCTGAAAGGTAGCGTTAACTGGAGCTCCTCTTCCGCTGATTCATCGTCAGAGAGGTAAATGAGCCTAGTCCACTACTGAGCGTACCGAGGAAAGCTGGGTCGGATGGAGGGTGTCGTCCTGTCAACACTTTTCACTCATACACACCACATTCTCCCTCATCCATCTTTCCCTCCCACTAAACTTCATCTTTCCATCTTTAAAAATTCTTCTATCAAGTAGAAATCATTGACAGATATTTTAGAATTGTCTGAAGCAAAGTTCTCAATCACTGCCGTGTGATTTGATGTCTGCTGTTCTGCTGAAAAGTGAAACAATCGCCGTATTGTTTCTCACTACCTGTAAAGCTGATTAATTATGTTGTTATTTTCATATTTTTGCCAAATTAATGTAAATGTTTGATGTTAAACTTTGATTCTGTAAATAAATGGCCACATTCATTTTGATGGGTCAAAGATAAATAACGTCTCACGTTACATTTTATTAAATTCAATGCACGTTATATACAGTCCAGAAAAATGAAAGAATCCGTTTTAATCAGGTGAATATCTCAGGATATGTTCATCTACACAGGCCTACGTCTTTGTACACCTTTTAGAAACAGCTTCATCAGCGGGTGATTAAAAGCTGTTCTGTCTCCGAACCCTTCGTGGCAGGAAGAGATGGCTGCAGCGTACGTTTTAATCGTGCTGAATGCCAACTTCCTATCCATCAGCTGTTGTAGAAAAGACAGCACGCCGCCTAATGGGCATGAGGTGGCCTCTAAACCTTTCTCTGTACACCAGCGCTGAAAAGCCGTCCACTTTGATGTGTACAGAGCTGTGGTAGATGCAGCACGTGAATCTTGGATTGTGCGCACTACCTCCTGAGGGAGACCCATCCTCTCTAAGCGGGACCGCTCAGCGGCCAGACCCACAGGTGCTGACCTATTTCTGGGTAACTCCTGATCGCTCCTCCTGCTTGAAGGAGAGCATCCTCCCTCCACGGCAGTTTCCACGGACGACCCGACAACAGACGTTGCAGGACTGGGAACCATGGTGCGTTCATGCGCTCGGGAGCCACCAGGAGAGCTGTCAATCCCTCCTCTTGAACTCGGTTCAGGAACCGTAAAATCAGAGGAGGTGGGGGAAACGCGTACAGAAGCGTTTTGGGCCACGGGCTGTGAGCAAATGCATCCACCCCCAGCGGTGGATCGTCTCGCGGGCTCAGGGAAAACCATAGTTGACACTGAGCGTTCTCTCGTGTCGCAAACAGGTCCACAGCTGCTTTGCCAAACTTCTGCCACGTCTGAACCATCAGGTCTGGATGGATGGTCCAGTCCGCGTGACGTGGACCGCCCCTGGACATCACATTTGCCCCTCTGTTCAGAACACCGGGTATGTAAACCGCTCTGATGGAGAGCAGGTTTTGGTGAGCCCAACACAGTAGCTTTCGCGTAATGTGTAACATCTGGGCTGAACGCACACCCCCCTGGCGGTTTATGTACGCAGCAGTCACCATGTTGTCTGTGTGAATCAACACGTGTTGATTCTGTAGCACGGGAGCAAAGTGTTGAATCACATTCAGCACTGAGCGACACTCCAAAACATTGATGTGGGCTGATGTGCAGTGGGGCCACAGCGCCCCTACTGCTTGAGATAGGCATGTCCCCCCCCAACCTGACAGCGACGCGTCCGTGAAGACTGACACGTGTGACGTGGGTCTGCCGACGGGAACTCCCTCTGACAGAACCAGGGTGTTTCCCCAGTGTCGGAGGTCTGCTCTCACAGAGGAAGGGACAATGATCATCCGTCTCTTTTGTTTTACTGGATCCACACGCAGACGCGCAAACCACCTCTGGAGGCGTCTCATGTGTAACAAACCCAGCGGAACCACTGTGTGAGCTGATGACATCATTCCCAACAGCTTCATGACGGAGACAGCTGTTATCACTTTGCCAGGTCTTACGTGGCGGAGTTGACTTTTTAAAGTGTCGATTCTCGTTTGTGATAAGCGAGCCTTCATGGTAATTGAATTTAATTCCACTCCCAGATAAACAATTGTCTGGGCCGGGAAAATCGAGCTTTTCTTCCAATTTATGGCGAAGCCCAGATTTAACAGGTGTGATGCCAGCACCTGAGCCTGCATCAGCGC